TGTTTGACATACATTTGAAGCATCAGGCTTGAAGCTTCTTGCTCACACCTTTGTAACATACAAGGATCTCATACAGGATCGCTAATATTGAACAAACATCCATACTCACCTCTTTGTACTGTACACGGTACCATCTTACCGAGCCAAAACCATCTTTCTCCTCAATAAACCAGGTCAACAAACAAAAAGCAATTATGTTGGGCAGCTGCCGCCTGGGAGTGGGTAATTACATCGCGGTGTGGACAGCTTCATTCTAAACAGGTACTAAAAGCATCATTAATCATCCTCCCTCTGACGCTTTGCCCTGGTCATGTGACACAGGCTGCTGATGAGCAAGGGAGGGGATCTGCCTTGGGGTGCAGGAACACGATCTGATTGGCTCCTTCCAGAAGTCCTTTTAGAGGTCAGCCAGTCAGCACAGATGAACTGAAAATGACCTTGTATCACTTGACCCCCGGGGATCCAAGGGTCACTTTCTCATATCAGTTGGAAGAGGAGCGGCAGGCGGCAAGACGAATGGGAAGAAGAGGAGAAGAATGGGGCGAGGGAAAAGGGAAGGCACACAGGTTTGCGCGGAAAAGCCCCGGCGAAGATGAAAAATAATACTGTCGGTGTGAGGTTTGATTGAGCACCTGGTTGTCCCCGTTTGTATAAAAAGGCTGACGAAAGAAATTGTATTTGTAGCGGCAAGAACAGCCCTGATGGCCCCTTCATCCCCCTCCTCTCACTCTTTATTCCTTACAATCTCTTATTTTCTTCTTGTCCATTGCCAAGGTGTCCTCAAGGTGTTGGCTGAAAGGTTGGTTATATCATCTGAATCAGTCAGAGTGACGACCAAAAACATCTGAGTGTTAATGTTGATGGGGTTTTAGTTTAAACAGCAAACTGGCCAGAGATTGCAAAGCACAAACTTAAAAATAAACGTAATAGTACACATTTTCAGTTAACTGCTTCTCTAAGGTCCCCCCTGCACATTATTTTGGTTGGACGTGAAGCCGGCACAAGAATCAATCCTTTTCCTGATGAAATAGAGCCAAGATGGCGCCTGACAGAGACTTGATTGAGAAAAGTTCATGAACTGTTCCCTCACGGAGCACAGACAGACACGGATGGCTGATTGACAGATGAAACACAAAGACACATCTGAAAGACAGAGCGCCAACCTCCCCGAACTGGTACCCATCCGCTTCCCCTCTGCCCCCCCCCTCTGCCCCGCCCCTCCACTCGGCTCCCCTTCTCCTCTCTCTCTCCATATGTCTGTGAATCTGTCGCCATGGCAACCTCGCCCCAGTGGCGAAGGAGGAGGGGTTGCCTTCGTTCAGACAAATAAGCATGGCAGGGCTCATTTATGATGGTTTGTTTAGGGATTACAATACACTGATGAGAGGTCAAAATATTTGTACTTGCACACATGTCCGGGCACGAGTGTGCATGTTTGAGTCGAGTCAGAAGACGTTGAGCATACGTGATGCAGCTGCACTGTAAACATTTTGAATGGAGAAATAATTTCATTCCACGTTTATTTTATGTTGCACATTTATGTTTCATGAAATATTTAATGAGATAATGAAAAACCTGATGTTTTTAGTACGTTGCAATTTTTCCTCTTGACACAAACTGAGCGGAGCCCATTGAGCATTCCGCCGCAATATAGTGCCATTATATAAATGGCATCATTAGCATTGCTGTTCCTTAGCTGATGTCTCACATGCGGTATCAGCATCTCTGTAAAGGCTCATTCTATTGTTTTGCCTTCCCTTTATGCTTATCTGCAATTTTTGAAAGGGCAATACAAACCAGTGAGTGAACAGAACTGCGTGGGAGAGGTCAGAGGGCCACCTTGGTTGGTTTTACTGATGCTGCATTATTGCCACAGGAAGATACTGTATGCGCACTGGACATAATGACATCCCATAGGTCCGACACAGCAGCAGATGTCTGAGGGAACGAGAAATTTTCCTACAGTTTTACCTCTGCGTGCAACCCTTCTCACTCTTTCCTCCCTCACATCCCATCCTCATGTTGCCTCACATTGACTCAAAGCCCCCACCACACACAGACACACACACATGCACACACTTTCAAGAGCAGATCTCGTTTTTGCAGCCAGAAGTGCTGAGTGCCGCTGTTTGCATTGCACACAGAAATTCGCTGAGGCTGTAAGCTGTCCCCAAACATCTGCTCCCTGGAGTGGAGCAGGAGATCTGCAAGGACTGGATTGGTGTGCATGTTGTTCAGTGAGGCTCTGTCAGAATGGGTTATGAATGGATTTGTATGTGCGAGTGTGTGCATGCGCATGTGATTGAACAATTATTCAAATAGGTGCTTTGTATCTTTCTGAGCGCCTTATTAGTAGCACCTTGGAAACAAAACACATATTTGTGTAATTGTAGACGGGACATCCAAATATCCAGAGGCGCACTCAGTCACACATACAAACAGGTGCGCTTCATTTCAACTTTCTTGATGCACAAATTGTTTGGTAGTCAAATATGTGAATGAGACCAACAAAAAAGACAGATGTGCACTAAAGTCTTTGCAAACAAAATAAAACAGTAAAATTAGACGATCGGAAAAACTAAAAGGGAGGAGAGCATTCAAATGACGTGTAGTTACAACAACTGAGCTATTCGTATGAGTGCTCCACTAAGAGTTAGAAAGAGCTTAACTTTGACCAATTGATTTCATTCCCCTGAGCACCGGTGAGGGTATTACATGCATATTATGCATTAAGTTAATTTTAGGCATCAATTACAATGAGCTCAGAAGAAACCTATACCTGCATAAAGCATGTGTGTGTAGGTGTGCTTGGAGATACGCTCATACGTCATTGTTCGTGCCACGCAGCACTTCTCAGGATCATTTTTACAGCCGCGCTCATCAGCTGACTTCCGAACGAAGCCTCGTTTGTGATGAATTCATACATGTCTATTGGAGTGTTTTATTTATTAAAAGTGGAACAGGTAACTTCACTTTGACAAACCATGTTTCAGACTATTTCAGTATATTATCTATACTCTATATACATATTTTTCTTCTTGAATTCAATGAATGATCAAATTTAATTACAATAAATGATTGCTCTTCAGCAGAGGAAAAGAAAAATAAGGGCGAAGAAAAGTTATTGAATGTCACCACATACCTGAGGCCGTAATACATTTTTAGCTGAGTTATTTCTATTTACCGTGTGCATGCTTAGGTAAGAGCACAGCTGTCAGTCTCAACCTTACATCGTCAGGAAGGAGTTACAGAAGAGCACATGAAATCAGACCATAGACTCACACTCAAAGGCCTTCAAACGAAATGTCAGGGCCAAACAAACAATGAAGTTTGCCTTTCAGGCAAATGTTGAAGCTGAGTGAAATTCAAGTGATAGTTCACTCTTCTTTTCACCTTCATCATACTCACATTAACCACACACATTTCTGCTACTTAAAATTGTTGTGCATTTCTAAGTGACTCTGTAAAGTGAAGTAAGTTAGATTTTTGTAAAAGTCTGACTGCACATCCGCTGCGAGCATCCTCTATTTATCACAGCCTGTAACTTAACGCCGTATTGCCACAAAGGGATAAAGGTGTTTCTGATGCGGTCAAATTAACACACTTCTTACATGAAGGTAAGTTTTTATATTCACAAGCTTTACTATCACATTGTTTCATCATCATTGTCATCACAATCGTCCTCATAAACTTTACAAGTGCACACATGTTTGCACTGAAAGAAGACAGACAAATTTGATTTTGTTGAGCCTTTCACTTTGTGATATATTTTGTTTAGAGAAAGGCAACCTTAATGGCTTGTATTTTGTTTAAATGTAAATGTAAAATAAATTAGGCGCAACACATTTTTAGTCTAGCTTGCATGTAAAATAGTTTGTATCCTTAACAAATAAACCTTTAAATGTTTGCACTGTCAAAAGCTCCTCTGCGGACCTTTAAGTCTGAACTTCTATTCATTTGCTTTCAGTTAAAATGAATGAAATATATTGTAAAGGAGATTGTTTGGAAGGCATTAATGTTTAAATTATTCCAAAATTATTCAAGGCAATACGTATGAAATATACAAGCGGCAAGGGTGTTATGAATAGTTGCTCTAAATTTTGTTTATATACGGGCTGGGACATGGAATCCTATTAAGTGTTTGGTATGCTCAAGTAACTTTAATTTTTCAACTTTGCAATTAAAAAAAGATTTGTGGTTTGTATCCAAAACGTAGTGGGTAAAAATACTCTTTTATCCAGTTTATAAAGTGAGCCAGGAGCATATTTCTGGGATTATTAAAATAAGAGATAGGGCAAAAATTAGGTCTAGGTGTAGAAAAATAATACATTATGTGGCCTGGTATGGAATTATAATATGAACAATTATCATATGAACTGCTCGCCCCTCCATTCAGCTCGATGAAATATTATTGTGTGAACAAAAGCCTTCCGAGTTGTTGAAAAAAACGCTGGAAAACCTAAAGAAAGAGATAGAGATAGAAAGAGAGAGGGAATGCGGAGGTCAACCGAATGAATGATGCATCTTTCTCTCAGCGAGCCGCTGACCGGGTCACCGTCGTCCCGAGGCAAGACGAAAGGTCAGGAGGTGAGAGGTGAACGCCAGTGTAGCCGCATATATTAGCTTCAATGTGCAACTGTCTAATAATTATGTTGTTATTTTACTTACATAAATTCCTAATAGGACACCTGTTAGATGTTTTAAAGGACCTAATTCATTCATTTTGATGGTGGCTTTATATTTCAAAGCCCAGCTGCTTTAGGTTTATTTCCGTCACTAACCCCCGCTTTGGATCTATAGCATGGAGGGAAACACCGCTAATTGAAAACTAAACAGAAATATTCCCTGACATGGAATTGGTGCGGCTGGTGGCGTCATATCTCGATATTAGAAAAGGCATTATCGTGACAGGACCCCATTGCGACACCGGGAACATAACAGTGTTTGTGGCCGAGTTAACAACCATTTACTTTATACGAGATGAGAGGGGAATCTAGCAGGAATATTTAGCAGATGGAACTGCTGGGTCCAAACAGTTTATTGGTTGATCTGCAAAACAGCACAGACAGCGTTTTATTGTCGGCTCTCCCGCATGAGCGTTCAAGCCAAATTATCATTCTCTGATGCATAAAGCGGCAATAAAAGACGCAACAATTCCCGACCGAGATTTTTCTAGACTTTCCATTAAGATGCAGTTACAGAAGCAAGCAAATTCACAAAGATTTCTGCCTCAAATAGATATACTAGTAGGGATATTCTTAATAATAGTAATCAATACATATATCAGTCAATTGTGGCATTTTCATTTCCGTGAACGAAAACCTTAGAACCGGAAAATACACAAAGCTTCGCTAAATTAGCCTGACAATTATGTGCGATGTGGTTGTTTATGGTATTTCTGTTCTACAACAGTTTCATTTGACTTTTTTCTTCAAATATTCAGATACAAACAGCTTTTTAAAGAAACAAAAAAAAAATCGAATAACGCTACAACTTGAATTGATTAAGAAAGCAGTATATTATTTAAATAATCCCATTAAAATTGATTCGAAATAGAATGAATATGATCGAATGTACATTCAATACGTGCACATAATTATTATTGTACACAAAGGCGGTTTCGTCTTGAATATATATTCACGTAAAGTCAAATCCTGGATAATTTGTTCCGAATAAATAAACAAATAGTCTGCCACAGTTTCTATGGACAATTAATATCATTTTGTTTGCTTGTTTTCATTGTGTAGATAGGAGCGCGGTGCAATGACTTGAATTTTAATATTCAAATCAGCAAAAGTCGGAAGCCGAGGGAGGATGACAAATTGTTTTGATCTGTTCTTGCATGACGAACCTGCCATTGTGCTTCTTAGCGCTGCGAATCCATCGTGGTAAGCAAATCGAGGTGACGCCTGATTGAAACCGATGCAAAAAAGGCAATCAAAGCATCTGCAGGCATGCGCCCTCGCGTGCGTAACGCGTGACGCGGCCCCCGCGCAGTTCAGGAGTTCAGGGACAGGTGTTCGGACGAGGACCGTCCGGGAGAGAGGCAGGTGTCCAACGGGTCGGCGCGTGGGCGCGGTGCCGCCGTCCCCGGGCCTGTGAGCAGCCCGTCCCTCTGTAATTTCTTCTGCTTCATGCGTCTGTTCTGAAACCAAACTTTCACCTGCGTCTCACTGAGCTGTAGGGCGCCGGCGACCTCCACGCGCCTGGCCCGCGTCAGGTACTTGTGGAAATGGAACTCTTTCTCCAGCTCGGTGAGCTGCTTGGTGCTGAAGCTCGTCCTCGGGGGCCCGTTCACCGTGGAACGGTCACTCGCGCAGACGCTTCCGGGTCCAGCCTCGTCGACACCGAGGCCCGAGTTAACGACGCTGAAACCACAGGTCATGTGAATCCTGCCTGGGAACAGAGGACAGGAAAGCAGCAATGAGGTCACCGACGCATCCCTTCCGAACAAAAGTGCCCATGCACCCCCTTGTCCATGAAATACGATAAGAGGTCATCGGGGTTAAAACAGGATCCCCTTTTGTATAAATAACTGTAGTCAAAGTCTTACAGTTTTAACTTTTTCTCAGAAAATAAATAAAATATCTACAGCTGTAGCCTGACCTGGGAATTTGTGGGATAATAAGGAACATTATTTTATTTTTTTAAATCACAGTTGTTGTAATACCGAGCACATATTCCAAGGTTTAAAGATAGCATTAAAGTTAGCAGCCCAGCACACTGTAAACTAATCTGAAATGTCCAACCTGATGTAAAATGATGTGTTTTTATTTGAACATAATACCATAAAACTGAACCCTACAATGCAACAATATCATGGAGCCGGAAAAAATATTTTGACACTTCTTAGTCTGAAAGTTTTTCCAAATCATTTTGTGAGTTTACCAAATAGCTAAATGTGTCAATGTATATTGCAGCAATATGGAAAAGTTGTCAAAAAATGTTTGCCGACTCAAAACAACTTTGTATTGTTTACAGTCCATTAACTGGATTCATCGGAATCATTATTAATTTGCTTTAGGGCTTTCCGGTGTCAATGACAGTTTAACAGTTTACAAATCCTTTCGAACACTGCATTAATGACAAATGCCTCCATTTCTTCCTGTAAGGTTTTCTTGGTCACACATTAAACTATCATCGATGCTACTTATGTGCAATGAAGGACAGGAACCGCAGCTATATCTTGATTTTTCATTGCTGACATTGTGGGTAAGTTGTCAGTGTGTCTTTCCCTCTCAGGGAATATGCTGCTGCTGCTGCTGCATAACGGAGTAAGTGTGCCAGGTGTAGAGCAATGCCTCCCACCACAATTCATAGAGAGTAAGGTTAACAGGCCTCTAGCCACTTGGAAAAGCATAGCAGACAGAAAGGTCAGTTATAGGATAAATGTCGACATCTGTGTTTTAAGAAAATGAATGTCAAGGTAACTGAGCCATGAGAATTAGGGCAGTGAGTATGAAGAACCAATGCAGAAGAAGTGTACCTAATTAACAACTTCAGCTTTCAGGAGTGCAAATCACATGCACATTCTGATTAATGGCTCCAAAGATAATAGAATTGATGCTGGCCAGAAGGCATAAAAGAATCAAACTAAATATTAGAGAAATGACTTGCATGCTTAAAAATAGCCAGGCAGGAAAGGGAAAGGAAGCCCCGTCCAAGCCAAGGAGAGGGAAGAATAAAAGGGATAGATCGATACGCATTGCCTCAGTCATCTGGGCATCCAGCCCACAGTAATTCAGGTGCTGTCAAGGCATAATTGAAGAATGACGCACTGGGAGTATATACACTGAGCCAAGAGATCAGGTTACTGCAGGTCTGTGGAGGCCTTTCAACGTGGAAGAATATACGCAAGACTTTGTTTGGTGCCAAAGCCAATACAACCTCAAGAGGAAAGCATACTTTCACTAATGACTCTTTTACAAGTTACACTGTAGCGCTAATGAGTTACTCCCACAGATGATCCCCTTCAGAGGGATGCAGGAGGAGGTTACAAAGATGCAAAGAATACTGCGAGGAGATGTCTCTGCGTGGGTGGGCGTGAGCAAATGACTTTCTCAAGTGCACGGATCTGGTTGAGATGAGTGGCTAATGTGTTTTATGAATAAAACAAGCACCCAACCAGTGCAATGTGTAGTTGTCACCTTTTGCCTCCCTCGTGGTGCACCACCCCAAGTAGCTAATCAAGGTTGGGGTTTTGTGTTTGCCGCATTTTAAAAGACAACAATAGTCTTAATGAATCAAAAGTTGTTCATGTTACCTTTTCATAGCAGCATTGTGAAAACATTGGTTACAACTTTTACTTTTACAAGTAAAATCCAATAGTCATCCTCTGGCTCTATAATCATAACTTATCCAAAGTGTTTGAAAAAGCTAAACCTCTGTGCAGTCAAATCAAAGGTACCGATGTTGCATTTTGTGCAGGCTGACCTCCTTGTTCAGAGTCAGAAATAATGTGTCCACATGGTTTAACTGTGAATGCAGCTGCAGCTTTGTGTTTGTTGCAGACCTTGCAGAGGCACTCGGGCCTTGTCACCTCAAACAGCCTGAATCTTTGGTCACTGAACAATTTGGGCAGCTGTTGCTTACAGCAGACAGGGATTGTGCTCAAGTACTACCATTATAGTAAATCTTCCTCAATATGAAATGTATGTAACCCGAGCCATCTCCAGTAGCCAACTGACATTTTTGACCAAATGAAGGATCTATAAGTTACCATCACTCACATAAAATTGCAGGATTGATAGACATTTCTCCAATTAGTAGGCAATTGGTATTTTCTTAAAGCCTGTGATATGTATTCTACTGAGGGCTCTCTGCCCAGGGCTCATCGGTCAGTGAAATGATGATCTGTGACAGCAATTATGTTAAAAAGGTGGACACATGTAAAGGTGCTGCAAACTGAAATCAATACACGGGGCTTTCATTACAAACAGACAACTAATCAATACTCAGGCAGCACTACGGCTTACAAGAGGAAGTTTTACTCAACTTCCCGTGAGTCTCAGCAGCCAGTGGTCTGCTGCATTATTCAACGGCCGTGCTGGTTAGTAAGGTCAAGGGTAAATAATTGATTACTTCCAGTAGAATTTACAGTGAGGCTTTTCTGTCCCTTCATTGTGTCCCGTCTGGCTCCTGTTGGTAACAGTAGAGGCAGCGACGATGTTGAATAGCAGACTTACAGTAACATGGAAACGTTAAGGAAATGACCGAGTCCTCGTGTGCATATTCAAATCGACTCAACAGCTACTGCTGTCTTCAAAACACCCCGATGTGCTTTTAAAAAAGGTACAATATTTATTTGTACTTTATTGTTGTTTACGGAGGATTTTTTCTCTTCCTATTTTCTTTTCCAGCAACTTCGACCAAACTTTACCCAACAACGAATGGAAGTGATCCAAAACTTAAATTTGCAGCAACAACTTATTCAACATGAAGACTTTAATGTAAATGCATCCCTCCTCTCGTGCGCAGTCTCCCTCGACGAAAAAAAACAACAACCCAATAACTTACCCGCCCGGTGCTGACTCCTTTTCACTCTCATCCACTCAAAAGTTTTGCTGCTTACATCCACACGAGTCACGTTGCAGTCAGAGCCGGTTGAGCTCCCCGTGGCGACGTGAATGTCGGGGCCATTACGAGAGTAGATGCGAATTTGCTCGGCTAGTGAACTAAAACCGGATCGTAGCGTTTCGTTGTCATTTGACGCGCAGAGCCCGCGTCCTGGTGAGCCCTGCTCCTGCGCTCTGCACCGCCAGGGGACACGGGACGAGTGGGGGCAGGCCAGTGGCGCGGAGCTCTCCGGAGTCTCGCACGCCGGAGGAGGAGAGTTGTCCCAAAAGGTGCAACTGTTGGAGAGAGTCGAGTACCGGGGACGCGGAGCTGTAATCCCCGAGGCGGCTTTCACCTCCAATTTACCCTCCTCATCCCCACCACTGGCGAGTTCAGGATGCGTCCTGCCGCCCGGGTCCCGGTTTATGACCTCTTTTGCTCGGCGGCAGCCCGTGAACAGAGGGCTACTCTCCCCTTCGGCCGTCAACTCTTTATAGGAAGTCATTATCACCTCTCCCCTGCATAATCATTGGACGGGGTTGCACTTCATGCCCGGCCTCTCGTGCGTCCAAGTAATGCATGGTCAGGCGGCCGGAGGACCGTGGGGACATTCCTCTGAGGAGAAACAGTAGTCCCTGATTGATGGAGATGACGTGCCCTCCTGGTCTCGGCCAATAGCTGGACATCTCTGTCATCAGAGTGGACAGCACTGATTAAACAGGGATGGAGAAACTCACTTTAGGTCAACATTTAAATGGTGTGTCCGAGCCTACGAAGTTGCACCACTCTGGCCTCTGCAGAACCTGCACACAGCGCGCAGTCCGCCGTCATCAGCAGACAGCGAGGGCCTTCACGGGCCTACAAACTATGTAGGCTGTGACTTCAGTTTTTGTGTAATACACACTTCTTTTTACCCCAAGATAGATAGATAGAGGAATTTTGATTATTTTCCACGACAACAATGAACGCTCCTTGTTTTTCCAAAGCCACATTACCATAATATAGGCGTACATTGATGCAGCTAATGGATTATGCAAATTTGGGATGGCTTCTTGAAAACCCGAGGCTCCTCTTTAGCAGAGGGCTTAGGTCATGTGAAAGGCACACTTAATGGGTTCATAGGTCGTGACAGCTGGTATTTAGAAGTTCAGTGGCAGCAGATTTGTAATTAGCCTTGAACAAAAACAAAAAATGTCTAAGAGCGGAGATCAAGAAGTTTTGACTGACAGAAAGGGCATGTTTATCTGGAGGTTAAACTAAGCTCCACTGCTGGATCAGATGGCCCAAAACAACGAGGCGTGTTCAAGAGTCCCAATATCTGTTTTTAGCAATGTTCTCTTATTTCAACAAAGGTCTTCAGTCGGGAATCATCATGTTAGACTCTTCATATGCAAGTATTGCTGCACGCCGCTATTCAAACTTCATTGACACAAACAAAAACAAACAAAGCAAAACACTCCACATGTGTAGAAGAATAATACATCCGGACTGCAGCTATGTTGACTTAAAACATGAGAATATCACTAATGCCATACAGGGACACGGCAGGCCAAGTCTTGGCGGACGGAAAATCTCTATGAACTCTAAGTGCGGCAGAGTTTGTTTCTTTTCCTGAAGACTGGTGACCTTCAAACACATTGCTTGTGAATAATTAATAAAGCTTTACTAACATCCTAATACTCCAATATAAATATTTAATCGCCAATCCATTTAATTCTTCCAAAAGTAAAGATATAATGTCTTATTTATATATATCTATATATATATATATATATAGATATATATATATGTAAGAAAGCCAACAGTTGCGTAATTCCAAAGAAACAGTCAATTAGTCAGACATGATTGCATGCTTCTTGTGATTGGCTTGGTCGCCATTTAGATTATCACTCAAGCATGTTGGAATGATATTAGTACTTTTTCATATTTATTATGAGTGTGAATTCTTTCTTTTTGCTCTCACTGTGCTTAAATCAATCATTAAAAAACAGTATGTGAATTGAAATCCATATCAGGTTATTTTATTTACCCTTATTGTTGTTAAATATCATTTTCCAGGTTCTCGCTGAACTGCAACTGTACAGAACTACCATTCGTAACATTTAATAACAACCAACTAAATATTACCTTTTTTTTGTATAATTTGGAATATGTCTCTAATGTCTTAGCCCTGCAGTAATTACAATTCAGCGTAATGAACAACTTCTAAATGCATTCCTACAACACATATGGTCCCAGCTGTTGGAGTTAATAGGATTCTACAGGCAGCGATGTGCTGAATGACTGAGTGCAATATATCCCTTCTCTCCATGCATTTGCAAGGTGCAATGATCCATCTTCATGTCAGCTCGGAGGTTACTCAGGGTTCACACGCTAGCTTCTTTCTCTCCTCCACACTCAATAAATAAATCTCTGCAGCGCTCTGTTTACCGCCTGAATATAAATTTGTTTGCAGTCGATCGAAGACCTGTGCAGAGGTATTAGAAATTGTATTTCTGTAATGGCTTTCAGCACGGGGAAGGGGATGTGGGAAGAGGTTGCAGGGAGAAGTGCAAAAAGAAAAAACAGGTGTAATGCTTTCTTTCCCGAATGCAAACTATTTCTTAAACATATACACCCTTCGGACGTATTGAAATTATATTTAAAACCAAGTAACCTTTTTATCATGTAGGACAAGCACAGCAATCCCTTGAAGTGCCATATGTTTGATTAGCATATTTGAATTGTTGTTCCACATCACTGCCCAGCACCTTTTATGCAGCAGAAGTTATATTATCCAATTTAGCACACACAAAACAACAAGACGTCTGTGGCTGAGGTTTCTTGCTCTGGACAGCTTGTATCCCCTAAACCATCAAACATGCATGAGAAATAAGAAAGAGGATAATCTCCCTCTTTAGGCAAAATGGATACAATTCGGAATTTCCCTCAACCAAAGTCTGCACCCAAATCAGAAATTTGAGTATTTTGCCCTGAACCCATAAACATCCTCTTAAAACTCATGCAGGCATTTACCATCTTCGCACACTTTTGTCTCAACTGTTTGGACTGGAGGTGGAGCAAAACACACAGAGCACTTGGGTGGCTGCGTCAGGAGGCAGGAGGAGGGAGAGAATATTGACTGATGCTAATTAGTTTTGCGTCCCTGTGTCAATGGGCAGTCAAGGCACCGGGATCAGCGCCGCCGTGCTCGGATTACCGCCGCAATCTGAATTGAACCCTCGTCGGGTCGCTGCCGCATGATGCTACCTGCCGCCATTGACACCAGACCCTTGTCTTGCCCTCCAACATTGTCAGGCCTCTAATTATATGTCAGCTCTTGACCCTCACAAGACGAGGAATCAAGCAGCGCTGACAGACGACTGTCACCACCCGCCAGAGAGGTCACTGCCTTTGATGCAGTAGGTGACAGCCATCTTTCCCATGTTTATGGAGCTTAGGCTCATCAATGTGGCATCATGATAGAGCTGTAATGTGGCAAAGAGCAATAGAGAGAGAGGAAGGGTCAGAGCGAGGCTAACGCACAAGAAGACAGATACTCAAGTGTGGCACATTGACCGGTTGAAAGATGACCATCTGTATGATTGATAGAGTATGTCTGTGTTTTTCAAATATTGACGTTTTTGAAAAATAGTGATGACAGAAGTGAGGTTTAGCTTCGTGTGTACCCAGCCCACACAAAATCCGGGGAACGCCTCTTGAAACAAAGAAATCCATCGCAGAGTGTGAAATTCTAATAACTGTCCTTTCTTTGTCGTCAAATGCTATGAAATCTGTCACAGTGAATGAACCGTAATCATAAATCCAGTGCATCTACGCTACAAAGGGTCAGGCACATGTAAAGATAACAACATCCTGCCAAGGCTCAGCAGTGTCACGATGAAGCAATACCTTGCTAATGCCAGGACTTTTAAACAATAGCCTCTGGTACGAACTGCAGTGCTTCACAGCTTCAGTGAGCCAAGAGGCTTGAAGTCGGCAGAATCCCAAACATCATGACAACAAGCCATCAGTCATCTCCCCCCCAAGCCGCTGTGCACACTTGTGTGTTTCCGGAGTTCGTACTGTGGGAAATGAGCAGGGTTAAACATGAAACAGAAGGAAGTGTTCATCATTGCAGCATACGCCTTAATAATCTGTTTTTCGCTGCAGCGAAAGAGAAGCAGTGGTTTATAATTTATTTATTTTTCTGCTTAAACATCCCCTGCTTGTTCACAATGCAGATAAGTAGTCTACTGTGCATGCATGGTTAATAGCAAAATGCTGATAGAAAAATGACACTGTATTAATAAAGCACTAATCTCCTGTTGCATCCCAGTCTCAGTCGTGAAAGGAGAAATGTCAACAGTGTAAAAGTTTGAAAGTTAGAGTTTAGATATGGTATATTGACAATATAAAAATAATAGTTTAATGCCTTTTATTCCACATTAGCTCTAAGGCTGTTAAAATGATCTTATATGACAGGATCATATATTCTGTCTCATATTGATTTGACTGATTTAGATTTAGGGCTCCACATTCAATCCAAACCGGATAGGTGGATAATCTGTGCCTCATTTTATACACATTTCCACAAGAAATCATGAATGCATATTTTGTATCTAAGAATCAAAAATGAAGTCTGTTGCAGGCATACACATGTACAGTGTAATATCCTACAATATCTTACATCACACATTGTTTTTAGGCAGTTTGGAGATTTGGAAGATGTCAACACCAACCACTGATATGGAGCAGATGAGCCCTTTAATTTAGCCTCATTCTACACCGGTTTCTCTGAGAGCCCAAACAGAACAGTAAAATTGGAATATTTGTGAGGTTTGTAACACGTTCAAGTTTTTTTTCCCAAACGGAAAACAAATATGCAGAATATATATGTTTAAATATCAATACATTTCCAAAACAGTTACATTATAAAATGCTTTATCTGAGATATTTCCCCAAGGATTTCTTTGAGAACAAGCATAAAGTATGCATTGATTAAATTCTGTGATGAAGCCGTTGGGTGTTAAATAATTCTGGGTGATCAATAATGGTCAACATTTGACATTTAGCAGGGTGACGGTTGTGATTACAAGTTCATTCATTAAACCAGACCTCTTCAAAAGGGAACCGTGAGCTCCAGCAGGTGAGTCCGCGTCAGCTAAGACACTTTCATCACCAACGTACCTTTTTATTGTCACAGATCATCCTTAAATGGGAAGCATTTAAAATGTCATTGATCTTGATAATGCTGTCCTGTAATATGACAGTAACAGTTGTATGAGATTCAGGAAGTCAAATTTCTAAAATTGATGAGTCGTAGCAGTTGAGTTATAATCCATCTACCTGAGTAATGCTCAGGCTCTGTTCCACACGAAGGAGCGGACAAATAAATAAAAAACATAAAGGTGACACCAGAAATTGATACTTAAAAATCATCTTGAGCAACAAGCACCTGGAGAGAACGGTCTGCAGCCGTTACTACTGTGGAGGGAAAAAGGCTCAGAAGGTTAATAGGTCATAAAAAGAAAAAAACCTCCTAAAGGCAGAGCATAAACGTCCAGGGTTTTGCTGAACGATGGACCAAAGTATTGCATGTAACGGTAATGCCATGGGATAGTTTTACCTTCTATTATTATTTTTATTGTACAAATCATTCCATGGTGAAGCATAATAATTCAAAAGAAAAGT